GTAATACGTGTTATAACTAATTAATTGTAAAACATATTTCAAAAATACGTTTTATAAATAAAATTAATTTTATAATTTATATTTAATTTTCTTCATTTTTTGTTATATATTAATTTATTTAATGAGACGACTTCGGGTGTTCCGTCGGACATCGATAAGCGATTCGAGCATTAATGAAAAATACTTTCGAGAAAGCACAAGAAGAGGAGAAGACGTTTGTGGCGTCGATTTATTATTTCGATGTCCCGATCATTTATCTAGAGAAGCTCGAGTTCGAGGGTGCATATTAGTAAAATAAGTGAAAAAGCCCGTTTACGTGGGTCCCGCAAGGTCGCGAGTGACTTCGGTTTACCGAGAATCGAGTTGGGACGTGTAGATGATTCAGGCACGATGTCATGCGGGGCATTTATCGAGTATTTTGGAGTTCCAAGCATTTAATTAAAGAAGCTTGAATTCCCGTGGGAATCGTAGTAAAATGAGTGAAATTTTCAAGGACGAGTTTTGAGCGTTCGAGGCGACTTCGGGTGTTCGTCGGGCCTCGATAAGCGAGTCGAGATTAAGAAAAGTGCTTTCGAGAAAGCACGAGAAGAGGAGAAGCCATTTGTGGCGTCGATTTATTATTTCGAGGTACCGATCATTTATTTAGAGAAGCTTGAGTTTGAGGGTGCATATTAGTAAAATAAATGAAATAGTCATTTACGTGGGTCCCGCAAGGTCGCGTGCGACTTCGGTTTACCGAGAATCGAGTTGAGACGCGTAGATGATTCAGGCACGATGTCATGCGGGGCATTATCGAGTATTTCAGAGTTCCGAGCATTTAATTAGAGAAGCTTGAATTCCCGTGGGAATAGTATCAAAAGGAGTGAATTTGTCAAGGACGAGTTTTGAGCGTTCGAGGCGACTTCGGGTGTTCCATCGGGCCTCGATAAGCGAGTAGAGCATTAACAAAAAGTGCTTTCGAGAAAGCACACGAAGAGGAGAAGCTGTTTGTGGCATCAATTTATTATTTCGAGGTCTCGAACATTTATTTAGAGAAGCTCGAGTTCGAGGGTGCATATTAGTAAAATAAGTGAAAAAGCCGTTTATGTGGGTACCGCAAGGTCGCGAGTGACTTCAGTTTACCGAGAATCGAGTTGGGACATATAGATGATTCAGGTACGATGTCATGTGGGGCATTTATCGAGTATTTTGGAGTTCCAAGCATTTAATTAAGAAGCTTGAATTCCCGTGAGAATCATAGTAAAACGAGTGAATTTGTCAAGGACGAGTTTTGAGCGTTCGAGGCGACTTCGGGTGTTATGTCGGGCCTCGATAAGTCAGTCGAGCATTAAGAAAAGTGCTTTCGAGAAAGCACGAGAAGAGGAGAAGCCGTTTGTGGCGCCGATTTATTATTTCGAGGTCCCGATCATTTATTTAGAGAAGCTCGAGTTTAGTGGTGCATATTAGTAAAATAAATGAAAAAGCCTTTTACGTGGGTCCCGTAAGGTTGTGTGTGACTTCGGTTTACCGAGAATCGAGTTGGGACGTGTAGATGATTCAGGCACGATGTCATGCGAAGCATTTATCGGGTATTTCGGAGTTCCGAGCATTTAATTAGAGAAGCTTGAATTCCCGTGGGAATAGTACCAAAATGAGTGAATTATAAAGGACGAGTTTTGAGCATTCGAGGCGACTTCGGGTGTTCCGTCGGGCCTCGATAAGCGAGTCGAGCATTAACGAAAAGTACATTCGAGAAAGCACGAGAAGAGGAGAAACCGTTTGTGGCGTCGATTTATTATTTCGAGGTCCTGATCATTTATATAGAGAAGCTCGAGTTCGAGGGTGCATATTAGTAAAATAAATGAAAAAGCCGTTTACGTGGGTCCCGCGAGGTCGCGTGTGACTTCGGTTTACCGAGAATCGAGTTGGGGCGTGTAGATGATTCAGGCACAATGTCATGCGGGGCATTTATCTTGTATTTTGGAGTTCCGATCATTTAATTAGAGAAGCTTGAATTCCCGTGGGAATAGTA